TAATGTTCTCCAGAGTCAACCATTTTGAATAATATTGCATGAGTTCCTTGTTTTTTAATGCAGCATAGTATTCCATTGTGCGAATATACCACAGCTTCTAATCAAACCTGCAGAATCCCCAGGAGTCGAAATGGACTCATTGGGCAATGGTTTTGGCTGGTGACTGGGATTCTGTTCCAAATGTCTTAGTCACTTTCCTGTATTTTAGTTTTGACAGGTAAAATGAGGACCATGTTTCTCAACATTTTTAACCCATTCCTCCTTTCAGTAAAAAACACCTCTCTGTCCTAATGTTATTTAATGCTTCAAGGTAATTATAGCTGAAACCCAATTAATAGAATGATAACCATGTAAGAAAAAAAAATTTAAAGGGCACACTTTAAGCTTTGATGCTGTCATGAGATGTTGAATTTGCTTGCTTTTCCCAGCTATTCCATCCTAGGCAGCTTGCAGAATACAACCCAGCAGTGGAAAACCAGCTTGAACACTTTAAATTGTAATCTCAAATATGCTTTTTCATGGCATGCTCTCTAGTGACCTCTGTTTTGCAAACTGTGGATTGTGACCCATTAGTATGATTGGTATGTTTAAAAGAGTGATTGGTGAGATCACAAAGATAAGTGAGCATAACTAGGAGTGAGCAAGTGGTGAGAGATGTTACTTTTTGCCATTTTGTTTAGGTTTTGCATAATATGCATGTTCACTGAGTGACAGTGTAAAATCTATTTCTTCCTGAGGGTTATGGTTTTTAAAAAAGTATGGAAAAAAAAAAATTTCTGAGTCCTAGCTGTCAGCAGTTGTTGAGTGATTTAAAGGTCTTTGACATTTTTTTGCTCTTTCTTGAGTCATCTCTTTTGTATACCTTTTTATTATTGTTGTTAAGTGCCATCGCGTTCACTACAACTTATTGTGACCCTGTGAATAATGGCTCTATCCTGTGCCATCCTGACCATCTCTGACATACTTGAGCACACTCTTACAGTCACTGTGTCAGTCCATTTCACTGAGGGTCATCCGCTCCTTCCCTGACCTTTCCAAACATGATGTCGTTTTCCTAGGACTGGCCTCTCCTAGTCTCTTCTCATGTTGCATATCCTTGCCTCCAAGGAGCATCTTGGCTGCACCTTTTCCAAGACATACTTGTTTATCCTTTTGGTAATCCATGGGCTATTGAGCACTCTTCTCAACACCACAACTTAGAGGCATTGATTCTCCTGTCGTCCTTACTCATTGTCCCAAATTTCTTTCAACTGCGTAGCACATAATTGAAAAAGATAATGGTTTGGGTTGGATTTTAGTGCTTTTATATCTTTAAAGAGCTAGATTCCTGAACCTTTGGCTGCAGGTTTTCTCATGTCAATTCTGAGTCTACTGTGGGTCCCAAAGGAGCTTAGGAGGTTGTTGTTGGTGGTGGTGACGGTGGTGGTGTCTCTCCTAGAGCTTTTACCAAATGGAAGCAGTTATTTGCTTCTTGCCGTCTGGGGCTTTGCAGTTGGTTTTCTGTGAGCCTCTTCCTAGTCCTCCACAATAGTACGGTAGCCAAAGCAGCACTTGGGGTGGTTGTGAGAACCCCTCGTCTAGAGTGCTCAAGACTGTGGGGAGAACGCCAGGTGGGTGGAGGAGGAAATTCCAACCAGATTAGGTATACCGCTTATAGACCCACGGTGAGTCCTGTGGTGGTGAAAGCAGAGGCTGAAGGAAACAGGCAGGATTTCAAGTGAGGGAACTTCTGCTGACCCTTTCACAGCACTTTCTTTTGCTTTATTTGCCAGGGAAACCCTGTCCTTTAGGATAAAACCCTCCTCTTAGGATAAACCTTCCTTCCCAGTTTGGCTTCAGAAAGAAGAGGACCACAGAGCCAAGAGCCAAGAATGCTGCGACTCAGCATTCTCTCTAGGAGCTGGTGAGTGCTGAGCAGGTTGGGAGACTTCCCCAGGCGGCCATACTGTTCCCGAGCTGCCCTGAAGCGGTCAGGTGGCAGGGCTACTCAGCATTGTGTGACTTTGGAGTTTCCTCCTCATGGTCTCCTTGTTGCAGGCTGATTGGTGGGAAGGGGCTGGGGCGGGAAGACAGCTGCCAGAGTCCCTCCCACCCATTCTAGTGCTTTCCAGAGTCCTTCAGGGATGGAAACAAAGTACAGTAGATGCCGCTCTGCTTCAGATGGACTTGGAGTTCCAAATTGCTCTGGTTCATGGGGCAAAATGGTAGTGATTTTTCTCTCTCTCCTCTCTTATTCAAGTCCTTCTCTTTTTTCTACTTCTTCAAAGGGAGTTTTTTTATGTTTTTGTTTTTGTTTTTTTTTTAATATGTTGGTGTTTTTTTTGAGGGAAGGCAGGAATTAAGTTTACAAAGAAAAAAAAGAAAGGAATTATTTTTTCTCCTAGGTCACATGGTGATACCCATTGCCATAATCTCTGCTGCTGGAAGGCCCTGATGCTGTAGGGGGAGTCTGAATACAGCCCCAGAGATCGTGTTTGGTTCCCCACATGTTCACTTTGTTGCCTGCCCCTGGCCTCCTGCACCCTAGAATTGGAAGGGGGTATGAGCGGCGATGAAAGATAAAGATAGCCTCAGTGTTTAGTTGGCCCTGGCATTTGGGACTGAAT